GGGAATTTATGTATAAATATTGTACATCGTTTACAGAGTGGACCTATACGTTTGACCGTTTTACTATACACAGTACACGCATGCCGATATTGAAGGGCTTGCTGAAAAACAAGTCTGGTCCTATTTTTCAATTACTTTTTTCTATATGATCAAAAACATACATTTATGGTTTGAAAATTAATTTTTTTGCAATATTATAGTTTTGAATTCTATGAAAGACGCTGGACATATTGTGGACACAGTGGACACTGCAGGTTCGTCTCTGCTTTATTTACATTTTATAAAAATGTACTGAACTTGACCCGACATGTAATCATCAGGTTTTACCAAGTTTTATGGAAGCTATCTTTTATAATGCATACTACTAATGTTTATTAAATAATAAACAATAAAACGTGACCAATATTTTAATGTTTATTAAATAATAAACAATAAAATGTGACCAATATTTTCTGTAAAAAAAAAAAGACAAGTCGGTACTTATTTAAACCTCACACCATAATAGAAAACCAGATAAGTCCATTTAATATAAAAATTATAGGTTCCTACTTACATTATGAAGGACTAATCCGGTTGTAGCCTTCAAATTGTAACGATTTTTTTCTTTATTTTATCCAGGGAACAAGTGAATTTTTCTAAAAATGGGACTTTTCTGGCTTTTACAGGAAGCGCTTCAATGCTGTTGTTAGGCCTATTAAAGCGCGCGCTACTTCGCAGTGATCCTGCACACTGTATTATAATGTTTATCGAGTGGGTGAAGGTAAAATCGCAGGAGCCAAGAATGAGGAATGTCAAGTTGTATATGAAAGAAAGGGTCGTCTAGTGTCTCTACTCGAGGATGCTATTTTCGCCTCACGGAAGTCTGTCACGAATTCGCCGGCTTTCGAACCCGAGTCTCTATATATTATAAATTATATTATTACACGCATGCGCATGTAGTTCAATTAAATTAATACCTATTAATTTGTATCTTATCGTAGTGTAAGTTGTTGTTTTGGTACACGCCTGCCTATTATAGTGTTATTATGTCACAATAAAATAGAAATCCGATAGTAAAATATCCGCAGGTATAAGAACATCCGGAAATATATGAACTTCTAAATAGACGCAATCAATACAGTTCAAAGGATGCTATAGTTGTGACTTATTAATGCATAGGTAGGTACCATTGTTGTTACGATCAAATATATCAATGTAACCGCTATAAAGTATAATCTATAATATTATGTATACATTGTGATTGTTGTAAGAATGACAAAGGACTATAATAATATTGAAATTTACCTTGCATGACGAAAACTTAACATTATTACTGCTGATAGTCCTTACACGATTATTAAATGTTTACATAGGTACACGGTTGGATTAAAATAGTATCTTTGCGCAGGTGCATAGCTCCCAAAATATTTGATTCGCTCTCGACTCCCGTCGTTATCCCAAATAAAAATGTTGACAAACACTAGTTACTTCTTATGAACTAGTGGTTCATAATTATATACGAGTTGCCTACCATATAGAATTAAGTAGTACCGACAGACTTCACTAAAATATACCGCGTGACTACGTATACGTAAATGGATTTATGTACACCAAATAGTTATAGGAATGAGGTTTACAGTAACGTATATTCAATATATAATAATATTATGAATTTAAAATCAATTAAGCTTATTAATTTGTAAAAATAAAATCATAAAACGAGTAGGTCGCGAATGCTGGAATTAAACTGGAGATATTCGATTACTTGCGATAGCACACACGTCTTCGATACAATCTCGGCGTATATAGTTATTGTACTCTGCAAGCTCTCAGGTTCAATCCTATATGCATGATGTTTGGGAACTACGTAAACATTATTATTACCTGTCCATTGGGAAAACTGGTAAATATCAAATTCTTTGGGTTTACGATAAATTTTAGGGTACTTAGCGAGGCAGATCGTATATATGTGAAGGCAACTCGTATAGAAATTATTAACTTTTTTTTTACTCCAGGCAACTAGTACACGCCTCTTCAGCCTTCACCCATAGATACGAAACTATTATAAATACGCAATGCAGTCCGATTAAAGACCCCATGGTCCAATAAAATTTTTAACTAAGCTCCTAAATTGACAATTATTTGTAACCCGGTAAAATAATAATTTGTTGCAGGTATAGCGAGTTTTGAGATCGTTAAAAAAGCTCAAAAATAAAACTAACATAAAATCTCGTGGCGAAACTTCATAATTTGAACAATTTGGGGATAAAACTAAAAATTGATGTTGATCTGCGCACGTTGACTTGAGCAGTAATCAACACGCGTAGGTTTTTTCAGACGCAAATCTATAATATTCCACCCATCCGCCAACTGAAAACCCGATAAAGGCATCATCTAAGTCATATTTTTAACTTCCTGTCATAGTAAATACTAAAATTCTAGTTAATACTAAATTATCACCCGTCGATCCACCCACATACCACCCTTTTAATACTTAGAAGAGGCCGCCTCTCGATTACCCCCTTTCTCCACGCCACATGGGCCGCTGTTCATATATATTATTATATACTATAGCGGCCGCCTCTGGTTTTCTCGCTCGACTTCTTCCGACTTTCCGCTGCCGATTTTACGGCGATCGCATCGAGTCTGATCAGTGATCATCATATCATTTAATTATCATACACAATACGAGTGTACGGTTTCCGGTAGAATATTATATGTGTGGTTTGACGGAAAGATCCCGGGAAAAGTGAAATGTAGGTCACGTTTCGCGGCTCATTGTGTTAAGGAATAGGCGTAGTGTTTTTGTTTTTCGGCGTAAAAGACGATAAAATTTAATAGGGTAACTCGATACGTTCAAACAACCAACGTTTTATTTCGTGCTAGGCCGACTTCTGTGGCACCATATATATATAGTCCATACGTCTAATAAGATAATCGATGAGGGCGTTAATATATATATATAGTTGATCATATAGGCGGTATTAACAGGAGTATTAACCATATTGTCCAGGAGGTTAGCAGACGTTTTAAAAGATCTCAACCTCTCTCTTCTTATCAGATGAAAAAAAACAAATAATTTCTATAATGAAACAACTCTTTAATACAAGATATAATATTACATACCTACCTACTATATACATACATATACACAACATACAACATATATTTTACTTGTATGTTTTGGGACAAGTGCCTAACAAAAATACAAAAAAAACTAGAGAATAAGTGATCATTCTTGGGGGTGGGAGGGGGGCTGAGGGAGAGAACGGTCCAAGTAACTCTTGCAGTTTTTTAATAAGTTTCATTTGCTCCGTAAACTGTTCACTGTTCAGGTAACAATAATATTACGGAATATAAATATATAACAACCACATTTCTAGAGCTTTTATAAAAACCGAAGCCCCTACGTTAAGAACGTGCGATGTAATATTCATGTTAAGAACATTTCGATTTAGCTCTCCTGAAATGTAGCAAAACCCACCCCTTCGTCTTTATTATTAATCGATATTTAGTAATTTAAAATATATTAGTATAAATCGTATAATAATCGGCGATAAACAATCTTTATCGATTCCGAGGTTTCGTCATCCAAACAATAATATAATCGCGCGCAGCTCGCTGACGATATATTATTAAACTCCATGCGTTCGTGTAACATGTAGATTCCTATCTGGCTATATGCCTACACTTATTCCTCGGTGAATCACTGCTTGATAGGAGGAAATTACTGCAACATATTATAGACCCAAGCACCACCGTCCTACGAGCTGGTAATTCGGACAAAAAGATTTTATCTGACGACCCGATAGCATAATATTATATTATTGCAAAATTTGTATAGACAATAATATTATAATACCAATAAACACATGTGTATAGGTACTAATAACCGTATAGGTCCAAAACTATAGTGGTACGATCGTATGCATATCATGACATAGTGTATATTATTATGTATTTAACTGAAAGTTTTGATCTCCGAAAGATATATTAGTATTCATATATACATAGGTACTGTACTACTACCTACTGTGCAACCATTTCGCAACTATACGAAATTGTAGTTATCGGAATACAATATATTTAATATTATTATAATATCATAAATAACGATCGATTATTCACAATATTGGCAAAGAAATTTTTCGTAATATCGTGTAAATAATATTATCCTATGCGCGCGGTTTTCAAATTTCAGACGGGGGTACACGCGCTGTTGGAACGTTCCAAGTGGTTTTTTACTAATAAATGAAACGCACTCAATATTATTTTTTGTTTAGAGTAAATACTAAATACACACATTACGCTCATAATATATAGTTGTTTAAAAAACCATCATAGCCAATCTACAAAAAAAATCGAATTTGCATTATAGATAAATGGATAAATAGTTTCGTGCCTCAGAGACTCGTGAGCCTGGGCCATTAGTGTGTTGAGGTTAAAACGACATCATGTTCACTGTGAAAAATAAAAATGCCGTCGTGGCTTATCTAAAGGGAAAATATTACACTATCTAGGCCAATCTCGTTGGGCGGAAATTCATTTTTACGGAATATCATATCATGATGGCCTGGACCTAAATAACGGCTAATATCTATAGGTATCATGCAGCATATGTATCTGAAGTGTGAATATTACTCTATCGAGTTCATTCGCATAGATCTTTTAGTAAAAATAACATTTCTAAGGATCCGCTGCAGCACACTTTTCAAAGCTGATGGTAATGATTGTTTAGACTCTTTAGAGCCAACACTGACGCAGAAAAATTGGTTGAAACTATGTTAAAATTTAACCCATTCGACGGTAGTAACTTCCGAGATTCCGTCTGGCAACGAAATGGTTTTTTTTTACTCCCTAAAAGTCGGAAAACTTGACATCGGCCTCGATAGTTCTCAAGCGAAGATGTACAGAGCTACCGCCAACAACAACATTGCAGAACAAACGGCCGTAAGTCATCATATACAGACAGAAGTGAAAACAGTAATGACGATAAAATAGGTATGTGGTAATCTACTCACATAGTTCCTCGCCGAGCACCCACGTTTCCGGTCTGGAGTTGACCTCCACGAACACTGTGGGCGTGCATATGAGCAGCACCATGAGGTCGGCGATGCTCAGGTTCATCAGGAATATGTTGGTCGAGTTGCGCATGTCCTTGGACTTGAGTATGACGATCGGCACCATCATGTTGCCGACCACGCCGACGCCCAGTATGATGACGCACACCACCATGCACGTGGTGCGTATGTAGCCGGGGAACGACAGGTCGTCGTCGAGGAACTGGATGACGCCGTTGGCGGCCGTGTCGTTGGGCGAAGGCGCGGCGCCGCCCGCCGTGTCGTTGCCGGCGACCGTCAGCGGCGAGCTGTCGTTGCCGAACGCGACCACGTCTAGAGCGGAAATCATGCGTGTGGCCGCGGCGGCGGTGGGTGTGTGGCCGTGCGGGCGGTGTCGCCGTGTCGGCAGCCTGCGCGCCTAGGTGATGCTCGACCGCAACCGGCGATGGCGGACCGTGGCCGTTCGCGTGCCGCTGCAGCCGCTCGTCCTCGTCGTCCACGCGCTGCTCATGCACCGCAGACAGGACATCGGTTCACCCGCATACGGGCGACGGCTTGGCCACATCCGGATACCGCGGGGACGTCAACGCGACGACGGCCGTGGCCGTCGGTCGCCCGTCTCCGGCGCGGTCCGGTCGGGTTGCCAGCGGCGGGACTGCGATCTGGAAAACGAGCGCGTTAGTATTTTTTTAATATTAAAAAACGCCCAGACAACGCGTCTAGAGTATTAGAGGCGGGCGTGGATATTTTTCACTGGCCGAAATGCGCCGGTGACCGCGCATCACGATTGTAAATTCCTAATTTATAGTCTATGGAAGTCTACCTATATTTTACGGAAAAATATTTCTTAATTTTAAATTGTTATCTACCATTCCCAAACACCCGTAAATCGTAATTTATAATCTGTTGGTGCGATTCATTCGACATGTGGTGGACCATCTGTCCATGGGTAAATCCAACAATTAATATTACATTAATTATAAAATAGGTCTTAGACGCTAGTGATATTCCATATACGTCCATATAGTTGCACTACCGGGTTAATTTTTTTTATCAGATATTTTTTTCAATTAAATGTTACTAATTATGTATTATTGTACTACGGATATATATTTTTTTTTTGCTCTATTACTGAAGCATATTAATTATTACATACGAATAAATTAGTTTTTCATTGTTGTCTATTTCATAAAAAATAAATACATTCTAAAATTATATTTTGAAATAATTTTGTGATATTATATGATAATGACTATAACATAATAAATATCATATGCTATAGCATACCTCAATATTGAGTGTGAAATATTCACAAAATAATTTATAGCATATCAAAAATAGAATGGGGTAAATAGTAATTATTCAAGCGCGTCACCAAAGGAGGTAGGTAATGAAATATTTTTTTAATTAAAAACAGATTTTATTTAACAGGTAGTAGGTACATTATTTTAAAAATCGGACGCAATACATAAAAACCAATAATTTATATTATTTAATTTATTGAATCGTAGAAGTTGTTCGACGGATTTCGCTATACTAATTTATCGTTATAATGTAGCAATTCGTGACTGCAGCGTTATACAGATACTATCGTCAATCGGTATGATTTACTCCAGTCCAACACACCGATTTTTAGTTCGAATTTCACGCACTTTACATAATGTATGAACACGCTCATGATTGTGTTGTATTCAGATAGGTAATGCACGTTGTAAATCTCAAAAAATCATTGCGTGTTGTAATATAAATCGTATGCGATATCGTTCGGTAGATTAATATGCAGGGTTATATATCGTGGAAACGATCGAAGTCACGGATTAATTATATGGAATGTATAGTTTCAGTGGCGTATTTGCGTTAAGGGGGGGGGGGGCAACAGGGGAATTTGTCCAAGCGGACTATCGCCACTGAGATTTTTTTTTAATTTACACTTTTGTGCATGGTATTTAAAATATATTATATAGATTATAAGTACAGCATATTAACTTTCTTTAAATTAAGTAGGGGAACCGGGTGCAAGACTATAATCACCTCTGATATCGTTGACTCCTTGTACTATATATTTTATTTTTGTAATACAGCTCTTAATATGTATATACATTTTAAATATCATTGAGAAAAATTACTAAGTCTTAAATGTTGTAACTTGGAATAAGGATTTAAATTGAAGTATTGTGATTAAAAAAAAAAATGATTTTAAAAATTTTAAATTATTTAGAGACCAGAATTTAAAAAAATACTATTATTCTAATATTATGTTATAGGTATCAACCAGGAGTCATCACTAATTTTTATTAAAAAATTTATTTCTCAACTCCTCAAATTATTCTGAAAATGTTGTATCAATATAATGATTGCCGGCTGCGGATTAATTCCTCATGTTCCCGCTGCGATGAAATGTATTAAACTTGAAACATCTCAATAATTGACTTTAAATGGGAAATGTATCACTATAATATTAGTGATACAGTTTCCATTTAATTAAAAATTAAATTATATTATAAACTTGTAAATGCGAAATTAAAAAATGACATTTAAAAAAAAATTTTCTTCAAATACGCAAAGCTGTATTATAGTTTATGGTGGAAACAAAAAACATAAACTTGAATACATATCTAACTGCAATTCTACAGTGATAATTATAAACAAATATACTATGTGATATAATGTAATGCAATGGTGCGGTGATTGCTCCTATTAATTATTATATATTATTATATCTTATTATTGTATAATACTATTTTGAGTTGTCAATATTTAATTTAGTTCTCGGTGCGTTGTTATATCGGTAGACAGTCACTATAACAACCAGCAAGTACCTACCTATATATATTATTATTATAAACTGTACATGCGATCCTAACTCACAGCGGCCGTCCGTCCATCCCGTGTTGTTATAATGACATTACACAGTCAACGTCCGTCAAATCCACAGGCGGTTTCTAGGTTAGGTCAACTGCTTTTCGAAATTTCTTGTGTGTAGTATACAGAATACACGGGCAAGTATAGAATATTATCGTTATATTGTATGAGTACATATCACATATGCATAAACGCGACGCGTAAAATTAAAGAACCAGTTGCAGATTTAAGGGAGGGAAGAAGGACCGGGACCCTCCCCACGGCCAATTAGCTGTTAAATATAGTTGTAACGTAAAACTTTTGAATAACATATACTTTAATTAACGTTTAAACTTTTAAACTTATGGTACCGACATTATAATTAATAATATAAAATTAATTCATGCAAATAACTGATAAGACTGTTTTATTGAATTATGTATTTAATATGGTTTTGAAAAATCTTGCCCCTCCGTCCTCCCCCTGCCAACAAAATCTTAGATCTACCACTGCAAAGAAAGAACATAACTTCATAAGAGTGCAGTTTCAAGTGGTAAAATATGACGGTTTGTAAATATACGTGGGTATAGGCGCAATATAGGAGGAGCGGGGGGGGGGGGGTTGTCACCCTCAATTATTTTTATGTCATTCACGGTTAACTAAAATGTTAATTTTATTTTAATACATTAATATTATTATTTACTTGTCTACAACAATGAACATTATAAGATCATATCGAATTGGTGGTGTGAGAGACAAAGTTATAATCATTGCACAACCCTTGATTATATGACTAGGTAACTAAAAAAATAGAGACAGCGCCCTCGGATTTTTCATATAAATTGCGCCTTTACAGGGCTTGGGGCCGTCACTTTTGCCCGGACAACCTTTGACGTTCATGCATATGAACGCAGAAAAATAATAAACACCGCTGGTCTGGAGTAAATTGATAAATATAGGCATATAGGTACACCAGAGCTAAGATGATTGATATTGTGTTCGTGATGGAATCGTGATCGCTGTTAAAAACAGACTCATATTGTTATTATGCATATCAGAAATCGTGTGCAAAATATTGACAAGCAAAAATACCGTCATCTGGTTCGAATGTTCGTATCGACTGTAATACTAAAAACAAAGGCACATTGCAACATAGTGAGGTCAAAGCATTTTTCACGAGTTAAAAAATTACTACCCGCTCAGCGGTAAAAATTCGAAGCTTCGGTAATTTATTAAACGAGCGCTAATAGTATAATTCAAATTCCGAACAGAGCTGCTCGTCGTCTGAAAAGTTTTTTCACTCTCCAATTTTTAAGCTCTAATTTAATTACTGACGTCTTTTGGGGGCTTAATCAAAAATCCTTGAACGGATACGAGAATAATAGTAATCGTTCCTATTTATTTTACTATTTTCGCCTATTAAACATACATGCCCAATATATCACTATGTGTCGTAAATACAACTGAAAACTGGCAGTATTAATAAATTATCACCAGGTTTGGAGACTGCTCCGGAATTAACTGCAGAGTCCAGGACTATATCGCGATACGGTCTCCAAATATATAGTTCTCTGTCTGCGACTTTTACAGTATTATATTAACGTCCCACGTTCGTCTAACTCGTTAACCGTTAATAATAAACATTTGGTCCAACTCTTAAAGTGAAACTTATCGAGAAAAATAATATTATATATATGCGTTGTTAAAAACAACACGACATTTATAATAAGTCGGTTTGAATGTGAACAGAACCACGAATGAAACCGGCAAACAAATCAAAGAATATGTACTATCGACTATCGGCGGTATAATATAGTTATTGCTAATTGCTATTATAGGCCTACGGGTTGTATGTATAAGTGGACAACTATCAACCATCATATCATAAAGTATGCGATAAAACTACTCCAAAAAATGTAATTTAGGTGTAATTTTGCTCAAATTTATAAGCAATCGTAATAATGAATGATGGTCAAAACCATCAACTACTGTACACATTTTTTAATTTTTATCATAATATTTTTAACTAAAAAATACATATTTTGAAAAAAAAATACTTTATCAAACCTCGTACACGAAAAATGTATAAATTCCACTCAAAAAGAAAGAAATATTCTACAACATTAACCTGTCATTGACATGTAGCATGTATTGCAATTGCACTATTACAGGCGGGATCATAGGATACAAATTAAAGAGTGATACTCAAAACATTCTCACTCCCTTTTTTATTCAACCATACTAAAGTTATTCAAAACCTGATTTTTGAATTTTTTCAATAATATACGTTTGAAAAGTGAAGACCATATATTTATGTCTTTGAATTCTTAAAATACTTTGAACTGTACTAAGAAATGTCCTGCGGAGGTGTACATATACAAACTTCTGTTTTTTTTCCAAAGAAGAATCCCATTTTTTATTGAAAATTATTTAGCAAATAATTGTTCAGAACATTTTGTTTGCATCAAATCAACATTTAAATGAGTGTGTTTTTGAGTTATTTAAAATGGTGACCCAAGGATCAGGTTCGTAATAAAGGGTTTAGAAGATATGGGAGACATAATAATTTGAAAAATGTAATGATTAATATTTACCTTCGATATTTATAATTTTTAAAAAGATCCAATATATGTATATTGTATAATACAACAAATACTTATTCCTATATAAATCTATTTCATACTTTTGTAAAACTATTTTTCAGAACTATTAACCTTTGTAAAATTATGGTCTTTAAATATATAAATATTCGAAAAAATCGTTATTAGAAGGTAAGACGAGAGTGCAGAGCACGATCGATGATTCGCCCTGTAAACAGAGC